AGAGCGATGGGAGTATATACATCAGAGAAGCTCAGGGTCAGGCATGGTTTCTTTGAGAAACTAAAGAATATACCAGAATCTAAAAGATATACAAGTAAATGATGGGCTGAGAGTAAAGATGAGAAACAAGAAATACTGTAATATGTAAAGGTCTTGAGGTAGCTCATGGTGGAACATAGAATGATTAAGGAAAAGAAAAACGTTTGTCTGGAATGCTGAGAACAAGTGAGAACTCGGAAACAGACAAGACAGGAAAGAAAGGTGGGGGGCATATCACATAGGACCTTGGAAGCCATGTATTTTGGTTTTCATTCTACAATCATGCAGAAGGTAGTAGGTCATAAAAAGTTTTAACCTGAAAGCAATGACACATCATGAAAAGGTAAGTCAGTTGCTACTTATAAAAAGATCACTGTGGATAAAGAGAAAATTAAAGAGTGGGGCAGGAGTGTCCATAGGGAAAGTAGTTAGGAAAATGTATTTGATGAGTAAGAGATCGGATCAGTGTGGTGACACTGGAGACTGAAAGCAGCCGGTAGATATGAAAAGTTTTTCTGTAGGAATTAAATTCAAGGCTCATTGACGGGTTCAGTCTAGGCGCCTGAGGGAAATGGGAAGGCTCACAGGTGACCCTCTGCTTTCTGGTTTATGCAGCTTGGTGCACAGTTGTGCTATTCGCTGAAATAACGCGGGCAGGAAAATGCCAGCTGTGGGCTCAGGGGAGCAGTACATTTAAGGCACCTGTGAAATTGCAAGTGTAGGTGTTGGTTGGGCAGCAGGGCCCAGACTCAGAAGAGAGGTCTACAGGAAACATAATATGCAAGGTATCGACATGGCCAAGGCAATTACAATATTAATATATGCAAAAAGCCAAGTGAACAGGCTTGAAATTTTATTGAAAACACAATGTTTGGCCTTAAAATAACATTTTGAGCATAGGCTACAGTGGGAATGGGGTTTTCCTGGCTGTTCTCACTCCCTGTGAGGAATGAGCATGTGTAGACAAGTTTGGATTATTGCCTTTCTGTGGCCTATCAGATGCACGCTCTGAGCTCCAGGCTGCAATAAGAATAGCATATCACACGTGTAGTGCCTTTGAAACCAAGTCATTGCATATTTTTCTAATACTTCCTTTGGGGATTTATCTATTTATTTAGTTAGTTTTAGTTTTTAAAAAATATTTATTATTTTTGAGAGAGAGAGAGCACGTGTAAACAGGGGAGAGGGGCAGAGGAAGAGAAAGAGAATTCCAAGTAGGCTGTGCACTGTCAGCACAGAGTCTGATGTGGGGCTCGATCCCATGAACTGTAAGATCGTGACCTGAGCCAAAATCAAGAGTTAGACACTTAACTAACTGAGCCACTCAGGCACCCCTATTATATATATTTTTTTTTTAATTTCAATTCTGGGTAGTTAACATAATGCAATACTGGTTTCAGGAGTAGAATTCAGTGATTCATCACTTACACCCAACCCCCAGTGCTCATCCTAACAAGTGCCCTCCTTAATGCCCATTACCCATTTAGCCCATCCCCCACCCCCTCTGTCTGTCAACCTTCTGTTTGTTCTCCATCCTTAAGAGTCTCTTGTGGTCTGTTTCCCTCTCTTCTTCCCCAACCCTACATGTTCATCTGTTTTGTGTAAATTCCTCATATGACTGAAATCATATGGTATTTGTCTCTGACTGACTTGTTTCACTTAGTATAATACATTCTAGCTCTATCCTTCTCTTTGCATTTTAAATCCAACTTGTTGCATGAGATTATTTAAAAATATATGGCTTATTTTTAGCTTGATGACAAATTTGCAGGAATAAATCACACTGAGCATTCAGGCATTTGTATTCATATCCTGCACTTTACAATAAATTGGATATGGGAGTCAGGTAGGGGCCTAAGAGGTTAGAAATTTGAGGCATGAAAAACAATGAATTTGTGATTTAACCAGGACAGTCAAGGATGAAATTAAATAGATTAGGGAAGTCCATTTCCAAAGTAGAACGTCATCAGCGAACCTGCCTTTCATGTGGTGGACAAATTATCCATGGACCATAGAGAACACTATCATTCAGCCCCCAAAATGCTTTCTAGTCTTCATTTCGAACTCCATTTTGATATTTTGAGTAGAAAGGACATCACTGGGCATTCCACCCAGATCACTTTCTTTTCAAGACAATTCTGAATATACTTCAATATTGAAAATATTTTTGTGCATTTCAAGACTAATCAGTTATGCTTTCATGAATGCGTGATTCCAAAACAAATATTTTAGCTGTTGTTAACGATGCTATTAATGTATTCTTTTTAGAAACCTACTAGTCTCTCTTCATTAATATTGTGGTCTAAAAATGTTAAATTACTTTTGGTTTGATCTCAAATAAAGCACTTTTTAGACATGAGAACATCTTACTGGGGGAGGGGTGGAGCCTGCTGGAAAAGAAAGCTTAGGGAAAGTCTCCTAATGGGGACTGACAGGGAGGAACCACAGCTGGCCTCTGTGCCTGGGCTGTTTGTGCTGCTGGGGACATAGTGAGAACACAGATTTCTCGGCAGCTCTCGTGTTCAATGGGAGATTGTAGCTGGCCAGAGTGTAGTTCAGAAAAAATCAACACACGTTCTTTTAGGACCAAGTCTTAAGAGAGAGTACGAAGAGTACTAAGGTTTGAATATTATAAATATGATGGTTTCTAAGATTAATGTGATGCCATTTTGGTCTGAAGGAGTTCCTGTGAGAAAGACACACTGATTTTTTTCAGTGGGGCAATTTATCCAGTGGAATATAGTGTGCACTGAAGGAATATAGAGAAGAGGCATTTAATCTAACCAGCAATGAGGAAGATCTTCTAGTGAGGTGATGCCTTGCCAGGTTTTCTAAAGAGAAATAGAGGTCAACCAGGGGAAGAAGAGGACAAAGGGCATTTGAGCAGATGGCACAGAAAACACGAATTTGGGTGGTTGTGACTAGAGAATGGACTGAGGGTAGAGAGGGTAAGGCATTTAGGTAGGGTTGGGGATGGGGAGTCGGATTTGGCTTAGCTGAGTAGAGAAAGTGTATCCATACATATAATGGTAGCCGCCTGACGAAGGAATAGTCTTGAAAATTAACTACTCTGTAAAAGACAAACAGAAGAGATGTTTGGTAATCCAAGAACTGTGCCTGGTAAGAATTGGTCAGGTTTCCTTTATTCTCTTCTCCACAGATCACCTCCTCCTTCTTGTGTATCTCCTTTCCAGTTACGTTGTCCATGAACTTATTAAGGAATTGACTCCACAAATACCACATTGTACGACACCTGTGTAGTAGGTTATGCGTCTTTGTTCTAGCTGGCCTCTAACCTTTTCCACCTGAGACCCTAGAAGAAAGGAGCTGTTAATTTTATATTCCCATGTTCACAGTAATTCATCTACAGATTTGACTAACCGAATGAATAATGTTTGAATGCATACAAGAATACAATACCAGATGAACAAAATATTAGGAGAACATGAGGTGGGAGATAAATTCTGACTGGGGGTGTGGGCAAGTTCTCATAAAACAGGAGAAATCTTGTGCCATCAAGAAAGAGAAAAAGAAAGAAAGGAAAAAAAGGGAAAGAGAGGAAGGAAGGAAGGAAGGAAGGAAGGAAGGAAGGAAGGAAGGAAGGAAGGAAGGAAGGAAGGAAGGAAGCGGAAATATGCTGGACAGAAGAGAGGCAGAAATGAATTCAGGTAGCAGAACTTCCCTCAAAATACAAAATAGGTCCCAGCAAGAGTAAAGGGGTCTGATATGGCTGATGGGCACAGGGCTTAATTCTAAGTGAACCATGTTGAGACTTGACATCTTTTGAAACATTATCCTAAACCCTTTCTGTTTGAGAATCTTTCAATGGTATCATAAGAATTTTTTTTCTTTACTCCAAAGGAAACATGTAAGGTTTTGTGCAGAGATGTGCTATTATGTTACCTTTGATTTGGGTGCATGAAAGTAATTCTGATGGGAAGAATGGATGAACACAGAGTGAGAACAAAGCTTCTGGGAAGTGGTGAGGTAACCACTGCAAGAGTAGGGGTGACAAACAGTGAACACTTGTCCTATGTTGGGGTAGAGGAGTGCAGTGGACATGAGATATTTTAGATCTAACAATGGTGTAACTTGAAACCCCTTCAATATTGACAAGGATGGAAAGAAAAATACTGGAAATCTGTGAGATATTGAGATTCATGTGAGAGAGCATGTACCTTACAATATAGAGTAGTGCTTGCCAAGGGTTCTATTGTTCATGTATATGCACATAATACATAGAATTTGAGTGAATGAATGAATGAATGAATGAATTAAAAACCTTGAAATCTACCCAATGACACATGTGCTTGGATGACATTAAGCAAATGTGACTTATGCTGCAGTCATAGGAGTGTGCCATGGATATTTAACTGCATAACACAGCCTCATCAGGCCTACTGAGTACCTCCTAAGAGTGTGGTTTACACCCCAGAAGTGGACATTTGACATCTTGCTTGGCAAAGCTTTCCTATTTTAATGGTCATGGATATTGTAGCTCATGACACTATTTTTATGTTCATTATCCTTAGATTCTTGACAAGATATTAGTAGTGTTTGAAGTAATAAATTAGTCATCTCTACTGATGGACAGGCACTAATCTTAACATTCATTCAACATAGGGATACTAGACTGTTCATAATTAATTTGTATGTACCTTTTCATAGGAAACCTATAAATGTACTTTATGTTTTTTCAACTCTATCTATAATAGTAATTTTTCAATATGCTAATGATGTATGATCAAGTTAATGTGTTAGTGTTATATTAGGATTAAAAAGTCTGATATCAGGATTTTATGTATATCTTTTCTGGAAGTTATTATGTGATGTATCTGTTATTATATAGTGCTATTTATATCGTTCAATCCACACTAAATATATACATCTATTCTTTCTTCCTTTCTTTCTTCCATTTTTCTGCTCTGCTTCCATTGATGACTCTATACTTTTGACTCCAGACTGGCAATATGAGGGTAAGATGACAAAAATAAAAATGCCAAACAACCTCATGAACATTGCTTGTCTGTCTTTGTTTTATTCTCTTTAGAACATTATTAAAATTCTATTCACTCCCTTTAATTAGACCCTTTATCACAATTAAAGTCCAATTATGTTTGTTTCTGTTGTGAAGCTTTAATTACAATTTATCCTTGTTAATCATTCCTTTATGTTATTTCTTTGGGTTAAATTACCATCCCATTATCTCTGTCCTGAAGGACTTCTGCTCTCCAGTGGTCTCTGCTGGTGTTTTCTCTGTAAGATTTGAGCAGTTTGGTGGTGTACAAAGTGAACATGTTATGATGTTGTAAGGGGTCTCTGTGGTTGTTATGAAAAAATTAATCTAAAATATTAAAAGTAATGATGCATATCAATTTGATTGTGGGATTTTTCTTTTTAAATATCAATATATATCCCAATGAATTTGATCTCAAGGTCAATGCTCGTGCAATTGTTACTTCTTACGTATGGTTGTTTTCTCTCCTTAGATTGCAAACTAGCTAGGGGAGGACCGCCAGCCACCATAGTTGCCATTGATGAAGAAAGCCGGAATGGTGAGTGAGCTTCATGTTTTACAAATGACGTGTCCAAGAGGGATTTCTTCCCCTTTCAACCCTAGATTTGTTACGTGTGGAAGTACTAAATGAAGTTAACCCAAATCCACAAATAGTGCTCCCCTAATTTCTTCTCTGTACGAGTTTAAATTGGGCCACACGCGCAATATGCTTTACCTGGATCAAGAGACACTTCCGTGACTGGAAAGGTTGCATAGTCTCGACTGTAAAGGAGTCACTGCACCCAGTCAGTCCCAAGAGTGAATCCAGATACAGCTGGGGTATTTCTTTGTCACTAGGTAGAGTTGACTGTCACCCACACAAACATCTAGTCACCTAAATAAGACACATTGCATCCCTCCAAAAGAAGTCGACCAAAAGGTAAGCCTTCCCCTGGCAGCTTACACGGGTGGGAATCTGATAAGGATTACCCTCCATAGCCCACTAGACATGGTGATATAGGAATGGTTATCAGGAGATCTGAAAATCCTTGGGAAGAGAGAACCTGACGAAGGTTCTGAGAGCAGAGGAAGAAGCTTGAGTGTTCGCTCAGTTGGTCTGCCATCATTAACAACTAATAGGGAATCCATACTAAGTTCTTCAAAAAGTACTTTTCCTTATCAAAACCAAAAATAAATACAGCTGGTGCTTTGTTCTATACAACACTCTCTTAGCCTTTTAAACTTCAGTGTGTTTACAGATTCTTTTCTGTTAGGTTGCAGTAAAACGGTATCTCTCAAGTCTTGGTTTCTATTTTAAACTAGTGTAAGTGTGAGAATGTGCTAGGAGGCTCAGTTTGACTACTAATTCTGTGATGGTCCTTCCATGGGGCTTGTTCGCTTTGTACTTTGTGTCTGTTGGAAGCAGTCTGTTTTCCAGATCAATCAATCAATCAATCAATCAATCAATAAATATTCATATACACACACACATATACACAAACACACATATATAAAGGAATTATGTCAATTGGCTTATTACAGAATGACATTTTTCCTGGAATTTAACCCTACATACATTCTGAAAATTCTATAACATATGTAATACCTTCATTGTGCCGTATTAGAAGCATTCCTTTAGAGGTGCCTGGGTGGTTCAGTTGATTGAGCATCTGACTTGATTTCTGTTCAGGTCATCATCTCCTGGCTCATAGGATGAACCCTGCATTGGGCTCTGCACTGACCCCACAGAGCCTTCTTGGGATTTTCTCTTCCTCTCTCTCCATCTCTCTCTCTCTCTCTCTCTCTCTCTCTCTCTCTCTCTGTCTCAAAATAAATAAATAAACATTAAAATAAAACATTCCCTTACCCCTTTGAAGAGTTGGCATAATTTTTTTTTCTTCTTTTTCCATATCCTTTGGAATCATCCAAAAATGTCCACAGCATTGCTGGTCTCCATTTAAACAAACTTAATTTTATCTATACTAAAATTTAGCAACACTTAAAAATATCACAAAAATTTGGATGTTTTCATTATTTTTAAAAGTCCAGTATATATTGAGCATGAAAGCATATGAAGTTAATGAGTTATTATGATACATTTGAATTAACTGGAAGTAAATCTTAGATGTGTTTATAGAAAATAAAAAATACGTGAAAACGCTATATCAGGAAATTTTTCTTTTGCCCATGTAGAAAATTATGGTTTATGTATCATTAACTATTTTCCAAATAAAAATCTGTAATATTTCAAAATCAAATCCGTATTTTCTAAATATTCTCCAAGGAAAACAGTTGGCCTTTTAAACCAGAGACCAAAAAGAAAAAACCTGATAGAAGACCACTCTATTTTTGTTTCCCTGTGGTTCACAATTAACTTGAACTTACAAGCTGAGTTGAACTAAAACACTTAATTTTACTAAATAATTTCGTTTTAACATGTGATTCTTTACAGAGATTATTTGCCAAACAGGTGATTATAGACAGTAATGATGATGCTATTTTACCTCCCCCCTGTGTGGACTAGATCCCACTTTCAAAGGATCAGGAACTCTGGGAAGCCCTTGCCACAGAGTGCTGTATACTTCATGTGGTAGACGTTCAATATTTGTGTTCTAGAAGAATGTGACATGATTCAGTGTAGTAACGTTGTGTTCTTTAATTGGCATATTTTGTAGAAACTGCCAACTACTCAGAATGCTGCCAAAGTTACTTGAGTGTCATCACAAGCAATATAAATACTTGTCTGGAGGCTAAATGTTTGCATTTTTGTTTTACATTAAACTTCTAAAAATATGATCAAGTGAACCTCTGCCAGAGATTATAATGCGGTATGCCGTCATCTTGTCTTGAATGTCTGAAGGAAGCAGCGTATGAAAGCGTGTCCCATATTTTTCTTCAGTCTATCTAAGAAACTTCCAGTAAGACAGTTAATTCTGATCCTGCTCTTAACCTCTCTTAATTTCTCTTTCCCACCAGCTTTTAATTGGTTGTAATAAAACCTGGGGATATCTGATTTTACCAGTTTAATAAACACTCATTTTAAAGAACAAACCCTTTCTTAAGTCAAACTGGTAAGTCTATTGTGTGTCAGCTTGCCTGTGGTTTACTTTATTAATGACTACAGGTAAACAGTATCTTTTACTAAAGACCTCTTCCCACTAAAGTACAGCTTTTAGTAGCTCACTTTTTTTTTTAAGTCTATACTTAATGTTCTTATGTAAGTCGTTGAGGTCCATATATAGAATGTCCGTTATTTGTCACATGCACCTGCATCTTTCAAAACTTTTATACTGCGTAGGATGGGACTATTTCCTCGTTGTGAATATGCATTATAATTGCATTTTCACAAATGTGTATGTTTGAAAGATAAAAACTGTGATAGGTAAAGATCCATAAGCTTCTTTGTAACCCTGGGCTCTGTCAGATTCTCCCCCTCTTTGATCATTGTTCTCAACAGAATATTGATAACAGATTCTTCATATAACTCTCGACCTGAACCAGGATAACTATAGAAAAACAGAGGTTATGCTTTAAGGACACAATGTCAACACATAAATGGACACGTGCTGGCCCCTGACAACCATGAGAAAAGCCTTGAGGTGATGGGTATGGCATGTTTAATGTGCAGGTACATTTAGAAGGGAGAATGCATATGGAGAAACAGACTTAGGACATATTCTCTTATTTAATAAAATAAGAATATCTAAAAATTCTTTCTGGAAAACTTTTGTCCCCACAAAAGCCTACATATGGATGTTTATAGCAACTTTATCTCTAATTTCTAAAACTTGGAAGCCAACAAGATGTCCTTCAGTAAGTGAGTGGATAAACTGTGCTACATTCAGACAAATGTAGGGATAAAAATAAAGAGCTGATGAGCCAAGAAAGGCATGGAAAAACCTATTCTTGTTTTTTTTTTTTAATATCATTATAATTAACCAATTATATTAGTTTCAGGTGGATAATGTACCAATTTAGCTGTGCTATACATTACCCAGTACTTATCAAAATAAGTGTGTTCTTAATACCCATCACCTCTTTCACCCATTTGCCCACCCACCTCCCCTCCGGTAACTATTGGTTTGTTCTCCGTAGTTAAGAGTCTGTTTTTTGGCTTATTTTGTTTGTTTGTTTGGGCAGTATAGACATTTTAACATTTTTTTCCCATTCTATGAACATGGAACATATTTCCATTTGTTTGTGTTGTCCTCAGTTTCTTTCATCAGTGTTTTACAGTTTCAGAGTATAGGTCTTTCATCTCCTTGGATAAGTTTATCCCTAGATATTTTATTATTTTTGATGCAATTGTAAATGGGATTGTTTTCTTACTTCCTCTTTCTACTACTTCATTATTAGGGTATAGAAATGTAATGGACTTTTGTATGTTGATTTGGCATCCCACAACTTTACTGAACTCACTTATCAGTTCTCAATTTTTGGTGGAGTCTTTAGTGTTTTCTATAAATATTATCATGTCATATACAAATAGTGAAAGTTTTTTTTTCCTTCCTTACCAATTTTAATGCCTTTTATTCCTTTTCTTGCCTGATTGTTATGGCTAGGACTTCTAGTACTATGTTGAAAAAAAAGTGGTGAGAGTGGGCATCCTTGTTTTGTTCCTGATCTTAGAGGGAAAGCTTTCAGTTTTCACCACTGAGTATGATGTTAGCTGTAGGTTATCCAATTGTTGGTATATATTTTTTTCATAATATTCTCAAAGTCCTTTGTATTTCTATGATGTCAGTTATGTATCCTTTTTCATTTCTGATTTTGTTTATTTGAGCTCTCTCTCTCTCTCTCTCTCTCTCTCTCTCTCTTTAATGAGTCTGACTAAAGGTTTATTAATTTTGTTATTTTCAAAGAACCAGGTCCTGGTTTGATTGATCTGTTCTATTGTTGTTTTGTTTGATAGTTTGTTTAGTTTCAATTTTATTTTTGCTTTAATCCTTACTATTTCCTTCCTTCTACTGGTTTGAGTTTCATTCATCCTTCTTTTTTTAGTTCCTTTATGTGTAAGGTTAGGCTGTTATTTGAAATTGATTTTGCTTCTTGAGGTGGACACATATTGCTCTACATTTTCCTCTTGAATAGCTTTTGCTGCATCCCAAATATTTCAGACCATTATGTTTTCATTTCCTCTGTCTCCCTGTATTTTTTTTTAATTTTCTCCTTGAGTTCTTGGTTGACCCATTCATTGTTAAATAGCATGTTATTTAACCTCTATGTATTTGTGTTCTTTCCAAATTTATAGTTGATTTCTAGTTTCATATTGTTTTAGTCAGAAAAGATGCATAATATGAATTTGATCTTTTTGAATTTGTTGAGCCTTGTTTTGTGGCCTAACATGCGGTATATTCTGGATAATTTTCCATGTGCACTTGAAAAGAATGTGTAGGATGGAGTGTTCGGAATATATTTGTTAGATCCGTCTAATCCAATATGTCATTCAAAGAGACTGTTTCAAAAAAGGAAGGAAGGAAGGAAGGAAGGAAGGAAGGAAGGAAGGAAGGAAG